CATCATTCTAGCATTTTAGCCAGCAGAAGAAAGTAATCCAAATGAGTTTGGGCTGATTTAATTTTACATAGTAGGGAAATAAGTTTTGTGTTTTTGATAGTAAAAAAAAAAACATTATTAAGACTTAAAATAAGTCTGCAACAGTGCAAGAAATATCAGCAATATATATATATATTTTTTATTTCAGTGAAATAGTGAGAGCGGTTTCAGATTTAACGTTCTTCAATATCACCTGGTGTTTTTTTTTTCTCCTGTTGTAAATGTCATATTTCTCACAATGCTTAAAAAATTTGATTTGTTTGTTATAAGTGTGCTAATAACTGGTGCAAAAAATTGCACCTGTATTTTTCCTGTGTGAGAATGTTTGAATTTCAGAGAATAAAAAAAGGTGATTTGCAGTTGGGCGTTTTATGAGCAGCTAAATGAACTGTGAAATGAGCAAGTTGAATTAGCTTCCCATTTCATAATTTGCTCAGGTACACACAGATAAATATTCCCTAATTTTACTGGTAACCGAGGTGACACGGTGCATCAAAGAACATTAACTTCTTGCCTATTAGATATTATCATGGGTGTTGCTTGGACGAGTACTGCATGTAAAGGGTCTTTGTTTTCCAAAAGAAATGGCCTTAATTCACATTTGAAACACACATATATATATATATATATATATATATATATATATATATATATATATATATATATATATATATAAGGTTTTAATTGAAACTTTGAAAAGTAATTAAAAATTAATTGAGGATGCTTGAAGGAAAGACTAAGAGTCAAAATAGCTCCTCTTAATACCTTAATCTAAAAACGTATTAAGCAAAGTCCTGGAGAAAGCTTAGAAATACCTACAATTTCTACAACAGAATATCATCCCTATAAATTGTGTGAAAAGTCATCACTGATGTGTCAAAATGATTTTTGGATCACATTCACAGCCACATCACAGCTTCATAATTCTGTCTCAGAAATATCATTTTCTTCCAAAATCTATTTATGCCATTGAGTGTTTTGTCTATCGTCTTTGCACACAGTGTAAAAAAATGAATCAACATTCTTCATTAGATACTCCATCTGAACAAATGTGTCACGGCATCTTCAGTAGATTATCTGAGGCTGTGTTATATATTGTTAAACTGAGCAGAAATGTAGAAGTGAATGTTGTATGAGGAAAAGATTCAACACTCTCATTCTGTCAGCTGTGTATCCAATATTCCTCTACATGTCCAATCATGTACTTCACTTTCCTTTCTTCATGATGTCGTGTTTTGCTCTCACCAACAATCATTTTCAAAGCTTTAAGGTTCATCTTCTATCATTGCACAGTTCCTAGCCATTGGCTGTTCGTTATTATCACCAGATCAGAGCTGTGAGGATTCAGTCTCCAATTACTCACTAGCTTGCACTGTACTCTCCTTAAACATGCACTTCTGATGTAATGAATCATCATCCATCAGTATAACATTCAAGACCTTTGTTATGTGAAACAATGAAGAAAAAAAAAAAAAAGACAAAGCAGCTCTGAAGAAATATTGGACACAATCTATGCCCCTAATTTCCAGGCCTTTTCTATTTTTAATGCTTCCTCTGATACTCAACTTTGTGGCTTAGAGTTGGAAAAGAACATGGCTTATTTTTCAAATAGCCTTCAATGACGACCCATGCCAAGGCAATGATATGTTTTCAAGTGGTAAGCTCTGCTTGCAATAAATCCAGTTATTTGGCAGCAGTCGTTGGCCTGAGGATTCACAGCTGGTTTGCAAACTAAAGCTGATCAGAAAAGAGCCGAGCTATTCAACAAGTTACAATTTTCCTCAGCTACAAAACAAAAACAAAACAGAAAAACATTTTTAAATTCAGTTTGGAGGAAATTTACTCAGAATGCTGAAGATTATTTTCAAGCAATTTATTCTTTTGTGATACAAAATTTCTGGTTATAAAACAGTAAATCTTTTCAGAAATATGTAAAATTATGGATTTGTATTTTATTATTTAACAGCTGCATAACTTTTTTGCATAAAGCAGAAGGAAAAAATATATCTATTTTTTAAATTAGAGCTGTCTGATGTGTTGAAAAAAGATGAATCTGCAATAACACTGCTGAATATTGAGACCACCAAATAAATTATAACCCACATTTATATATATATATATATATATATATATATATATATATATATATATATATATATATATATATATATATATATATATTTTTTTTTTTTTTCCATTATTTCAATTCAACAAACGTTATTAAAATCCTTAAAACTTTTTTTCTAAATTAATACTACACAATGAGCATATATGCAAGCTAATTCTGATACTGCCACCTGTTTTACCACATATCAAAATTAATTCTCTGGTTGTCTGAAAAGAGCTTCCTTTGACTTCATGGTCTGGTTATTGTTATGATAGGTGCAGCAAATGAGACTACATAACCTCAGGTGTGTGCCATTTTTAAATCGTCAATTGACTCAGTTTGCCTTGTGTTGACAGAAATTTGTCACATTTGATTTAGTGACAACACTGGGGGAAAAAAATAAAATCGCATATATTTGTTTGCTTGTTTTGTTTTGCACATAAAATATTCTAAGAAAGGTTGATATTTGATTTTAAAGGACAACAGTTTAAAATATACAGAAAACATATTTCAGTTCTCTTATATTTGAAATAACATATTGCAATAATAACACATTTTGAGGAGAAAAATTATAGTGCTTGATATGAATAAGCTTCTATACAAGAATCAATTTAATAAAGAACAAAAAAAGGATTCATGGAAAATAAACTTCACACAACCTGCTAGGAAATTTATTTCCTTTGAGTCTCAAACTAACTTTGAAGTATTGAAATATATGATCGAGGGGCACAAAATTCACAAATTATCAATTATAGGAATGGTAGATTAACATTAAAATTATTTTTAATTTAAGTAAGACATTTTACTGCCTTCATGTTGAACAATTCTAGAGAAGCTTAAAAACCTTTTAAACTTGCTTTTTGCATTTTAATTGAAAAATGTCGATTTTAACTGTATACAGTCACGTACATAAAAAATCTTAGTTTATTTAAACACATTTTCTTAGTCAGATTAAAATACGTTTTCAAAATAAGTCTTAAACAGGTATTAGACATAATTTACTTTAGAGAGTCCCAGCCCCAGGCATGTGTATACAGTTCATATGTTTCGAGTTGTTACCACCATTTGGGCCATTGCTTTTGCCCTTTTGTACAGCTGTAATCTGCTGCTTTTAGACAAAAATGACGAAGTCCACAGCTCTATAGCATCCATCAACAAGTCAATACAGCAAAAACTACTATCCTAGTGTCAGATTATGAAAGCATTAATGTTTTTTTTTTTTTTATAAATGTGTCCCTAAATCCTTGGCTCTGCCCTCTGTTTTGCTTTCTGCAAAACACTGCAAGAGTGCTAAAGCTTATGCCTGGCAGAGGAAACATGTTCAGCACTTTTACTTGCTATTAGGCATTTTTGAACACTTTGTCCACGTGTAAATCCCTCCACTGCCATCTGCTCTGTCACCAGTTATCATTGTACACAAACAGGAAAAAGATATTTTACCCAAGCAGCCTCAGAAAACCTTTTATTTTATCTGTCCTTTGTATTTCTCCTCATTTGAAAATTGTCCCATGATCTTCATCTTCATGACAATTTTTTTTTCCCAGACCATAAGTCTCAGAGATATCTTTGTGGCTCTCTCTCCTTTCTGCTGCTGATTGTAACCTGTCAACCCTGACAGATGCGTTTCTACTGAAGATGCACCATAGCAGAACCACAGAAGGTTGCTCTCAAAAGGTCAGAGTTGAGTTATGAATGTGTTAACTTAAATTTGATATTTAATGGTTTACTCACACTCCGGTATTGGATTGTTCATGTGTGACACTGTGGCCAAAGCTATATATATTGAAGACTTTTGTGCAGTGCCTGGTAAAAGTATTTATGCTCTGTAATGTTTTCATATTACAAACATAAACTTCAGTGTATTTTGTTGGACTTCTGTATGAGAGTTCTACACAAGCTAGTTCAGAATGTGAAATGGAGAGACAATTTCATGTGATTTTTGTTTTACTCTAACAAATAAAGATAGAAAAAGTGTGTTGTGAAGTTTTTATTTTAATTTAGAAAATTAACATGAGACTTGAGTGTCTACTCATCTCCTGGTCCATCCTGCCATCTCTTCTGAACAAGACACTAAGATTCCCAAACTTCTCCCAATGAAGGGGAGACCAACCCAAAGGAAGCAATCCATGTTTTTCTAGCAACGAGGAAAATGAGCCAACTCTCATTGCAGATGCTTCACACTCAACTGCGAACCACTCCAGGGAACCCCGAAGATCATAGCCTGAGAATGCCAACATAAACCCGTCTGCAAAAAAGAAAAGCCGTGTCCCTGAGGCTCTTAAGCCAAAGCCCTTCCTTTCCACAATGACACCTTGAGATCCTGTCCAGGAAAAGCAGAAACCTCGGGGGCAAGAGGCAGTCCAACATGCACTAACAACAAGTTTGACTTTATGTTAAGAATGCAGACAGTTCTTGGTTAATTTATGCAAGGACCTTGAAAGCACATCTTAGGGGAAAACGTCTTCTTCAGAGCCAGAAAACACAAGTGGATGTTACAAGTTATTTTCTTCCGACATAGGTGTGTGGATTTGTTTTGCACCATTTGTGGCAAATCTTTAGAATGTGAGACTTTTTAAAAGTGTGTCTCAAAGAATACAGTATGTGTGCTTGTTCTTAAGGATTTGAAGAGTTTTAACTGCTTTTGTCTTTGTGAAAGACTGAAAAAGAAAACTTCATTTATAAAACACCTATTGGATTTTTCTCAGACTTCAAATTCACAATTAAACAGCACAAACGCTTTTGCACCAAAAACATCAAAACGTGAAAAATTTAAGGTATAAATACTTCTGCAATGCACTGTAGGAGTTGTAACATTCACATAAAAAGCACTCATCCACAGTCGTAAGTAACTCACCGGCTTTATTGTTTCATCTTTGGCATCTTTTTTTCCAGTTTCTCAATTCCACACTCCTTGCCGTCTGCGTTTCCACATTTCTGCACCTTGAATAGAATAATAATAAAAAAAAAAAACACACATAGTTAGTGCTTAAGAATTCATCACAACACATCAAAACACGCAGAGCCCCCCTTTGTGGGTAATGTGTTAGTCCATGTGCCATGTGCTCATGCTGTGCTGTTGCTCTCTGCTCTCTTCCCTGCACTCACTTCAGAGTGCACTGCATGTGTTTCATTACTGGTGAAATGCTTGGTGACAGAGCATGTTGTAATTCTTCAAAAGGCATTTTTAAGAATCTATGCCTGCTTTTAAGATGACCTTGAAATTAAAAACTAGAAAAAAAGCAAACATAAAATGGTCTGGATTAATGACATTAAAATATGTGCATACCTAACTAAGTCCCATTTTGTTTTAGTGAAAAAAAAAAAAAAGCTGCACCAGCATGTTGGTTTTGATCCTAAAACCCCGCCTGCTTGGAAAGCTGCAAACAGAAACGGAAGGAGGGAGGGGATGTGCAGAATTCATTTTAAGCCTATTTGCACTTGCTTAAATCTAGCATGTCAAGTCCTTGAGGTATTCTGAAAGAGAGTGAAAGCCAGCCTTTGTATCAGTGCAATGGCTCCTCACTGCTGAAAAGCAGAGCAAGCAGATTGCATTTACCTTCCACTTCCTATGGCTTTTATCAATGGCCCATCCTCTTGATTTCTTTCTCACACAAAGGTAATGCAAACTGATTTCATCTTTGGAGCAAACGAAACCAAACATAAAACAAAAGCAATTATATATATATAAAAAAAAATTATGCTTTTAGTAAATTAGGTTGAGCAAAAACACCAATTTTCTAATACTCTATGAAAGTGGCATTTAGTTCAGCGTGGGGGCACCGAACAGATGGTGGTCTGTCTAACTCACGCCAGGTGGAACTGGGATGGAACAGGTTGCACACACATACTATCTCACAGGTCAGAGGAAGGTTACTAATACTCCAGTGAGCACCAGAGTTTTTTCACATGAAGATGAAAGTGTAGGTCAAGAAAAGATGGTGTGAAATCCCTAAAAAACAAAACAAAAATAAACTTTATTTCATGTAGATAAAAAGAATCTCATTCATTCATGCATCCAGAGAAACTTAAAAGGCAATTCCTCTAACACCGGTTACATGTATTGATGTCATCTACTCATGAAGTTCGTATCACATTAAGTCTGATCAGGTGTCGCTGCAGCAGACGTGATGCAAAAGCAGAACTTTTGAAATTAGAACTGCAAGCACCTCTTGAATTAAGATTAACTGGGTTTATCTTGTTTTTATTTCTAAAGAGGATTATTACCACTTAGCATTACACCTGGCATCTAGTTTAAATGAAGTTGAGTGGAACAGATTAACACTTTGAGACGCTCATTTTTCTAAGGGGTAATACTGAATATTAAGATATTTTTGGAGGGGTGTCTGAGAAAAAAAGATTTGCCTTTCCAATGAACCCATATATCATTGAAACATAATAAAACGAGAAGGTTTAGTTGAATATTGGAGATGATGAAAAAAGCCAGACCCTTTCCATTGTTGACGTTCACACATGAACTGAACAGTGGGAGAGTTTCTGCTGGAGATGCTCTCCACTGGGAGTAGCATCTGTTTAAAGCACCAAGGGGGCAGGGCTTTGTGCTAAAAATACACATTAGAAATCATTTTTAGCTTTTCCCTTTACTTCACACCTGATATTTCACTAGCTTTTAAATGTACTCTCAATGTCGAAGAGATTACAAAAGGTTATGTCCGACAGATAGGCCTTATGATTCAGAATCTCTTAAAGCGCCCTTCTCACCAGATTATGCTCACCTCACTGGTTTCCAAAGAAGGTGAAAGGTGACATTTTCTGTCATTGTCTGACACCTGCTGGATCTTGAAAATTTTGGAAGACCAAATTTTAATGTCAAGGAATAAGGGTATCACTACAATAATACCATTTGAAAAACCTGCTCATACTTTCATCTGTAGTGGTACTCCACCATGAGCCACTGAAAAAAAACAATACAAAAACATTCAAAGATGACAACAGTGCAACTTCCTTCTTCACAAAATGCAAACAAAAATGGATTAGCGTCAGATTTGAGCAATTGTGTTTCTCGGCAATTTCTATTTTGTCTTCGATCTTCTAATTTCTTCTTTTAGCATTAGACTTGCATGTTTGTTTTGGTTGTATTGACCCAGAGTGCACTGTACTATAGTTCGCTATAGTACAGTGCATAGTCTCTGGTCTGCTTGAGTCTACATGCATTTCACCAAGACCAAGGGTTTTAGCTTGGGAAAATATTTCCTAACCTAAACATCTCAAAACAATATTAGAATAAATAAATAAATCTCCTAAGTTAAACATTGAAAATCAGTGTCTCCTCTCTTTTTGCCGTATTATACTTCATTAAAAAGTAATGTGCCACATATCAGCAAGTAGTTAAATCAGCCAAGACAGGAAAACCACTGCATCTAAAATTGAAATCTGAAAAAAGTGCTTGGGGTGTAAAAGCATGTACTGTAATAGATTTATTGTCACTTTCTCTTAAATTATTTTTACCAACTCTTCCAGGGAAAATGTCCATTTAACACACTTTGTGCCAGCATACAGTTAACACATCACCTAAACAAAAGCACAAAATCAGGAAAAAGGGAGGAGCAGCAATCTAGAAAATAATGTCAACTTGCAGGAAAATGAATGAATAAATAACCAAGAGAAGAGCTTAAACAATTATTGGCACACTATATATTTTGAACAATAGTTTAAAATTTCTATCTTAAACTGTGCTGCGAAAGAAACAGAGACTCGATTATTGCCATAATTACATGTGCAGAAACATGAATAATATTACAATCATTATATATATTTTTTAATTGAAATTCAGCCCTGAAACTGCAGCGGAAGCTTTCCAGTAGATCCTACCTGAAGTCTAAATAATTTATCTGTGTTAAATTATTTAAAAAAGAAAATGATTGACCTATCCAAAAAAAGAAAAACTTGTAGAAAGGAAGTGGAAACAGAAAAATCAAGAGGAAATGAATAAATTCTCTCTACAAAAATAAAAATCCATTCTCCTGCTTCAGAGGGATACAGAAATAGCTTTTTCTGTAGTCGTGAATCTCTCAGAGCTCAATCAATGGACTAAGCGATACATAAAAGATGAGGCTGTGTTTGACCTGACCATGGAGGTGGAGGGAGGGGAAGTGAACTGCTGAGCCTGGACTGAAGGAGATGGAGATTTAGACTATTGGGGGATCCTTTGAAGTTTTGGCAGCTGAGGACGAGGTGTGAATCAGCCCGTTTGCCCCGCTGCATTAAACCCCCCCACCCCCCAAGCTTCAGCTCCGCTCGCACGACGTCAGCAGCAGCACCAGCTGGCTGCCAGCCGGCCCAGCGTGAGGCATAATCTCCACTTTTGTGTAGCAAAAGTCCATTATACAAAACTAAGATTCAAACTTCAGCAGCAATCATCACTGTGCTTTGTAATATTTTCACAGCAGTATAATTTCACACCTGACAGCAGCAGGCCTCCTGTTGCTGCTCATTTCTGGACGCAGATTAAATTTGTGGAGCATGAGCTTGTGACACTCAGATGTAATGTTGATTCCTTATCAGTAAGCAGGAACACCAAAGTGACAGAAAACAAAATCAAGATCAGTGAAGATTGATAAACACAGACAGAAAGATACAAACATACACTGAAATTATGCCTGATTGATTAAAGGAGGATGACACTGGTAAGTAAATTGTGTACAGACAGCCTAAAGACCTATACGTTAAGAGGCTAAACTGTCAGTCATCAGTGTGGAAGTGATGACTTAGTCGGATGTTTCTGTCACGAAGGCATTTAAAAAAAAGAGGTCAAATGTAAATGTAACAGGTTGAAGAAGCTTCTTACAAAGGAACCGTATTTCCTACTGAGGGTTTACTTTGCCCGTTTCAAACTTGATGTCAAGACATAACATTATAAACACATTACAGCAAAATTGCTCTGTTGCTTTTGAAGAGTCCAATACTGTTTACCATACAAGAGCATGGATTAATCTTTTAAAAATGTTGCCCCCTAAGCGGACACACACAGACACCAAAATAGTAACGCTAGCAACCCTTTTTTCTAACATGAAATTCTGAACATGATTTACATGTCAACATCACTGTATCCCTTTTACATGCCGTCTTACATTGCCTTTGGTCCTAAAATAATTATGATCATACTGAATCACAACCACACTGGTATGGTAAATGAAAAATGAAGAAGGATTCACCAAGTGTTTTGTTGTCCTTTTTTGTACCCTCGGGGAAAAACTGAATCAACTTAAATTTGAATTGGCAATTTACAAAAGTGGGAATTATATATTCACAGCTAAATTCATGATATTTCCAGCTGTAAAATAATGTTTAACATTTAGCTTTATCACCTCATAAAAAAAAAACATTTCAAGCCAAGTGACTTACTCAGTCTATCCACATGCAATGTTTACTATTTGTACCATCAGTATAGATCAAATAAAAATCAACTATAGAACATCTCAGTAGACCCTGAAAGGCAAATGTATTGGCAAGCAGAATGCATGAAAATAGCAATGATTGTGAGCTTTTAAAATCTCATCTTGCAACAGAAAAAAACAGAAGAAAAAAAAGAACAATCCGATTTAGCATACAACCAAATCTCTATGTGATTAAAGTAGTTCCAGATTTGGAGTAATAAAACAGTAGGTGATTAAACTAACAGACTCATCTGATGCCACAGTCTCAAGTCTGTTTTTTTCTTTACTCCTGAGGAAGCTCTGAGCTGCTGAAATGCACCTTGAAGGTCCCTGGGTTACAATGAAACTTAAACACATATCTGCCCGGTCAGTCAAGATTATGTAAGGATGAGAGTTTGCCTGTTTAATCTGTAGTGTTTGTCCAAGGACAATGAAGACTACAGTATTTGCAATTGAAATGCAGGGAATGATTTGGAGGGCAGAGGGGGGTTGATGGCACCCCACCTGGTTATTTAGACTTCCAAAGGGCACTTTTAATGAATTCAC